ATTAAAATTTCATTAAATATTATATGAAACAATTTCATAAACATATATGAAACAAATTAATCAAAAAAAGTATTATGTGAAACAATTTCACAAGATTAAACAATGAAATCAACGTATGAGGATGGTTTGTACAGTTTTTACAAATGAGAGTGGTTTTCATTTGATCGCTCATATATATATATATATATAGGGGCACGTTCAAATGAAAACCGTGCATTTCTAAGAAACCGTGTAAACCAATTTCGACCAATAGAAAAATTCCTTTTTTTCTAATTAAATTTAATCAAAAAGGGTATTTCGGTCATTTACAATATTTTCTATTAAATATGGAAGTTATTAATAAATCTTAATTAAGGAAATGTAATAAATGAAATTATATAAATGGTAACATTTAAATATTTAATTATATTAAAATATTAAAAATTTGGATTTCATATACTGTCATGAGTTATAATCATGAAATGTGTCTTGATGAAACAATTGAATTATAGAATAAAATCATCAAAACGTAGATGAACAAAAAAAATCCACAAAATGAAACAGATTTCATGAACGTGAAACCGGTTCATGTTGCAAAGAAATTAGGTGAACTGAAACATTTTTATGGTGAACCTGTTGCATTGATGGTGTAGTTAATTTTTTTTATGAGAAGTAAAATAAAACCGGTGCATTTTGAAAAAAAAAATATGAAAAGGAAAATGAAACATGTTTCATGAACGTGAAACCGGTTCATGTTGCAAATAAATTAGGTGAACCAAAATATTTTTATAGTGAAACCGTTGCATTGATGGTGTAGTTGATCCATTTTGTTGATGAAAAGGAAAATGAAACCGGTGCATTTTGAAAATAAATTATAAAAAGGAAAATGAAGCAGGTTTCATGAATGTAAAACCGGGTCTTGTTGCAAATAAATTATGTGAACCAAAACATTTTCATGGTGAAACCAATTTCGTTCATATAATGTAATTCAAAATTTAAAACGATTCAATCCATATAATTGAATATGATGTGTTATATTCATTTTTTTTATATGTTTTATTGATGGATGTGATTTAAAGTTAAAAATAATATATTGCTTTAAAAAATAAAAATAGTGTCATTAATATCTAGAAGGATGTTATCAAATGTTAAATTTTGTTTACCATTTTTGTCCTTACTGTTGAAATAAAATAAATTTTTAATATATATATATATTTTAATTTCCTAAAATAAAGTAAACTAATTTTGACCATTGATCAAGAAAATTGATGGATGAGATTGGTTTACACGGTTTACACAAATGGAGCATGTTTTTATTTGAACGCTCATATATATATATATATATATATATATATAAATCCATGTTAAAATTGTTGAAATTTTTGTCCGAAGGAGCAATGGGTCAAAGAGATATATATATATATATATATATATATATATATATATATATATATATATATATATATATATA